GGTGGGAGATTAGATTGTTTCTTTGACTTGTTTCTTGTTTCTTCATGTGAGCCTGTATTGCTATCTCTTTTCCTCCTATAACTGCTTTTAACGTGTCCCATACGTTTTGGAGACTCGTGTCGTCATTGTCGTTCTTCTCCAGGTATTTTTTAATTTCTTTTGATCTTCTCATTGATCCAACGGTCCTCCAGTAGTGTGGGTTTCGGTCTCCACGTGGTAGGTGGGTTTCTTGCCTTCTTCATATGGTTTATTTATAGTTTGATTCATTCATGGTCAGAGAAAATAGTTGGTGTGATTTCGATCTTAGTGTATCTGTTGATATTTATCTTGTGACCCAGTCCTAGAGAATGATCCACGTGGATTTGAGTAAAGTGTGCACTCAGATTTTCTGGGGTGCAGTGTTCTACAGATGTCCGCTAGACCCGTGTTGAGAGGTCCTGGTTCAGAGCTTAGTGTCTTGCTTACTTTTTGTCTTGTTGGCGTGTGCATCGTGGACAGTGGCGTGTTGAGGCCTCCCGCTCTGTATGTGCTTCCTCTGATACATGTTTTCATGGATGACAGCAGTTTCCTGATATATTTTGGTGCCCCTTCACTTGGTGCATATATGTTGATGTGTTACTTCTTCTTGTTGTAGTGTCCCCTACTCATAATGTAGTGGCCTTCTGTGTCCCTTTTAACCTTTTTAAGTTTGAAGTCTGTTTTGTCAGATGTAAGTATAGCAGTTCCTGCCTTCTTTTTTGGCCCATTTGCTTGTAGGGTTGTTTTCCATGCTTTTATTTTCAATTTGTTTTTATCTTTTGCAGTTAGGTGTGTTTCCTGCAGACAGCAGGGCATTGGGTTCTGTTTTTTAATCCATCCTGTGTCTTTTTATTGATGAGTTTAAGCCATTTACATTTAGCGATAATATTGATATACTGGCACCTCCATTTGCCATTTTGGTCCTTTATTTTTATTCCTTGTTTTGAGCTGTTCTTGTTCATTCTTCTGTTGGATTTGGTGTGAGGGCTTCTTGTAGTAGTTGGTCATTTGTTCACCATACTCTTCCCGGGGCTGTGGCTGATTTGGTGGTGGGCGGCGACGCTGATGGGGGTGCCAAATGTCACCTCCATCAAGAAATAGTTGAGAAATACATTCTTCCTGAGCCTATCAGAAAGGGAAACTTCAAGTCAGATTTTCAATACTAACATTTTAATGTGATGATTGGAAGTTTATAAGAAATAAGGTTGTACCTGAAAGTAAATATTACTTGTCAGAAGAAAGAAAACAGGGTGGTGACTCTGTTACTGGGAGTGACGGTTTC